GATACTTTGGATTTTGAGACTTTTCTAGTACTCTCAACATGCCAATGCCCGCATATGATGGTGAAATATACTGATGATACTGATGTACCTCCTGTATTTCATTGAATGAACCAACAAAAAATTAGTTATGTAAATAGCTTCCAAGTCCCGTTTTCATGAAACCTTGGCATGTGTCGTAAGTTCAAATTTCTTTTGTGCCGCACAGGTTTGAGAAGTGGTCTTTATTTCTTCCAATCACGGCCTTACGTTTCGACGCCTTTCGTCTTCCTCAAAAGCCTGAATGGTTCTAAATGTCATCCGTAATTCCAGACCACCAAGCGTTTCCTCCAGCTCGGCTAGTTTTCACCTTTACACTGACACTTTATTTGGTAGCGAGATTGTGAGAAGGTCGAAAACTAGCCGAGTTGGAGGAAACGCTTGGTGGTCTGGAATTACGGATGACACTTAGAACCATTCAGGCCTCTGAGGAAGACGAAAGGCGTCGAAACGTAAGGCCGTGATTGGAAGAAATGAAGACCACTTCTCAAACCTGTACGGCATAAAAGAAATTTGAAGTTATGTAAATAACTATTGCTATGAAAAAGGGGAGCATTTCGTTCAATAACATCAGAAGACCTCCGTTTCATGCTGCCCAAGTTGTCATATATTCGTCTAAGGGGATGAAGTCATGCCATACTAATGAAGGTTTCATCAAGACCATTTTTTACAATACAACAACAAATGTGATAAATCGTCCTTCTACATCATACATCAAGATATTCAATGGTACCACTTATTCATCATGAACAAACGAATAGCAAAACAATTATCAAGTGCGATGTATACTATGTAAAGGCACCGCACAATACAATACATTTTACCATGATTTCATGTTGTGATAAGCAGGACTAATAGTCAAAGAAAAGCTTAGAGGTACCCAAGTCGCCTTTTTTGGTCGCATTGGCTATATACTGTAGTCAGAAATAGCGCCGGATTCCGACGGATAGTACCTCTAAAGTCTCGCAGATAAGTCCGCCTACAGATAAGTCCGCCATCAGATAAGCCCGCTTCTTTTCTCAGATGAAAAACAAAAGGATTTCCTGTCATATTTTTAGCGAAAGCGTTCTTTCCGGTAATGTTCATAAGACAAAATTTGAGATTTCGAATCGAGAATGATACTCCTCTTCTCCTTTTCCCTTATCTCTAGGCGGACTTATCTATAGGTGGACTTATCTGACGGCGGACTTATCTGCAAGACTTTTGGCGGCGCGAGGGCGATTTTTCATCGATTTTTTGTGTCAAAAAGGCGGACTTATCTGTAAGACTTTAGGGTAGTTTCTCTTAGTTAGGACCGAAGATTTTTCGAATATTCGTATTCGAATGATTTGTTCGAAGTAGAAAAGTCGAATTTTAAGAAAGTGCATTTATTCGAATTTTCGAATAGTCAAATAAACGGAGAAGACCTCGCGTCGAATGAACAAATATTCGCATAATGCTCTTTTTCATTTATTCGAGGTGCTTAGATAGCCTGCTACTAAGGCAAACCTTTTGCAAATCAATGTAACTCTTTATATATATATATATATATATATATATATATATATATATATATATTTCTAAGTGACAAATTTTATTTTGGCTTGTTCTAACCTCGTAAAACATCAAAAGGTAAACAGTTTAGCTGCGATTCGATGCAATATTTTCTCCTCCTTCTAACAGCTATCTTTTCTTTGCGAACAGCGCGACTTTTGCAGATAAAATCTCCGTAGTAATTACGGTTGCGCACTGTTGTACACGAGATTTCAGAATCTAAGTACACATTTTGATGTGATAATCGCTCATTCACTTTGTAAAATCAGTTATAGTAACAATCGAGTCTTATAACTTCAATAATTTGAAGATTTTGCAGTGATTGATGCAATCTTGTATCATATGTTTTTTTCCAAAACTCAAGACTAGTATTCGGCAATGTTCTAAATAGGAAGTTGTAGAAACACGAAAATTGCTCTAATTTGGAAAAGGTTTGCCCTATCAGCAGGCTATCAGAGCATCTTCAAGAGTCCAAAGTAAAAATTTTGACAATTAGATAAAGTCGACGATAAAAAATGAAGTGTTGTAATCTTTGGCGATAGTCTCAGCACTGGTTGTAACCGTTCGCATCGAAAACATAGCTGCTGGAAAGAAGAAGAAATTTTGCTTCGATTACTGCCTAAAATATCATAAGCTTACTGTATGGGACGGGTCAGAAAGCAGAACGAACAGACTAAGAGATACATGATAACGCAAATGTAGTGTCACCTACCCTACAGGCACCAACCACCCAGATTCTCGGCTTCCATGTTTCTGCCATTTTGGGGTCTTCTCATGTTCCTGATTCCGAATATCAAGCCGAGAATCAAGACCGCGACAACAGCCCGTTTCGGAAAACCTACAGGGCGCGTTGTGCGGAAGGTGACTGGTTAGGTGCGCTTGCATGGGCGGGACGAACGTCACGCCCTTTAAAAGGGGAGGAGCCAACGTAGAATCCGTCATCCAAAGAGATTTTTCAAGCAATTTTCTCGCTTCGAAAGCAACTTCTGGCAGTGCGAATTAGACCGAATTAGATTAGAATTAGTATGCAGCTGGGGGACCCACTACTGTTAGGCATCAAAATTTCATTGACCACATCTTGGGTAGACGGCGCCTTCAACCAGTATCTGCTATGGACTGCTATAGTGAAAAACGACTGTATCTTCTAGGAGCAATGGTTTTGGCTGAAATTTCTATCGTGAAGGAAAGAAGGCTAAATAATTTCAACATTATAAGCTAGATGAATGCTTTGAAAGTAAATTGATGGGCCGTGGTATAACCCCATTTATTTACCTGGAAGTTAGCTGTAAATTGTAGTTTATGTTTGTATATACCCTAAAATCCGGCATATAAGAACGGACTTATCTGCAGTTTTGGCAGGAAAATCGATGGAAAAACGCCGCAAAAGGTCTCACAGATGAGTCCGCCTGAATCCTCTCGCAGATACGTCCGTCTGTCCTGAGCATGAGCAAGCGCGACCTAGGAGCACAAACGCGCGCGACCGCCCGCGTAGCTTGCCGGTGTAGATTCAAACTAGGCCGCGAAATCGCCTGAAAGGAAGAGCCAAAGTATTCGACAAGCCGTGCAGACTAGTTGCTGACAGTTTCGCCGAGGATTTGTCATCATATACTGGATAGGTGAGTTCTTTTCTTAGATATAACATTTCTTCTGTGTTGGAATTGATGACGCGATAGTAAGGTAGGATTTTACCCCATTTTCAGGAATATTAGGCAGGGGAGGTTTATGATATAGGCTAATTACAGTACATGCATCTCCTACAAAGCTTTTTTAGAACGCTGATCGTCGCGCATACTCTGTTCTAAGCAGTAAGTGACGAAGTACAAAGACACAAACGGTTCGTAGTTTTGCAAAACGCTACAGAGAAGTTGTTCTGGATATCACATCTCAGACAATCGCCGGGGGCAGGCGGGCACCGGAAAAATAGATTGCTGATCTCTCGCACCCCGCTCGCGGATTTTTTGGAAAGCAATCGGGACTTTTCGGAAGACCGCTTGCTGAGTTCTCGATTCCTCAGAGATTCAGCAATATATCTGCAAAAGATGAGAGCGAAAAAAAATTCAACAGGCGGACTCTCAAAAATCCGCTGACTCAGCAAGCGGTCTTCCGAAAAGTCCTGTTTGCTTTGCAAAAAATCCGCGAGCGGGGTGCGAGAGATCAGCAATCTATTTTTCCGGTGCCCGCCTGCCCCCGGCGTTGTCTGAGATGTTTCAGCGATTGGAATCAAGGCGTGAACTCCCCTAAAAGAGACCGCCAAAGGATTCGACAAGTCGTGCAGTCTAATTGCTGACAGTTTCGTCGCGGATTGGTCATCACATACGCTGGTGGGTTCTTTTCCTATATAAGACAGTGCTTGTACACATGGAATTTTTCTGTCCGAAAAATCATAATAGGTTTTCTCATTATATCATTGCAATCATCTCATCTTATCATTCATCTTATCGTTTTGGAAGCTACAATGTTTTTAATACATCTCTCGAACCCGTACAGGCTACAACCCTTGAACCTGACTCCTATACTTTTTGCTTCCTCTATTGTTTTCATGTTCTGAACGTAGTCTCTGTTGACCCATGCCATACGGCTTTTGTCAAATGCTTTCTTGAACGGAAGAGTGACAGCCTGAGAATGCTCAACCTTAGCAAAGCACTAGGCTTCCTTGTTCTTTTTCTCATCTGTTGTTTCATTAAGCCTGTACATCCAAGACAAAAGATAGTGTAGTCAAATTTGACGCCGCCTGCTTTTTCTTGTAAAAGAGTAAACCTTTCGATGATCAGCACAAATTTATAGGACTCCGCGTGATTCCAGTAAGCAATGACCGCTAACTCAGCGAAGTTCGCAATCACGCAGAGCCCTATATTTCCAACATACTCTCACACGCTGTGACTCAAGCTGTTCAGGTATCTCGGATCTCAATGGCTCCCAGAAGGAAGTCCTACACCGCGCTTTTTAAGCTTAACATGGTGGAATATGCCCTGCAACATGGAACATCGGCTGCCGCTGTTCGCTACGAAGTCTCTGATGGTCTGGTTAGAAGATGGAAGGCCGATAAAGAAAATCTGGAGGATATGCCACTGAGGAGACGCGCCAACCGTCATGGGAAGCCAAAGGTGGAGGAAATAGAGGAAGCTCTCTATGCATGGATTGTGCAGACGCGAGAACAAAGCCGAGCAGTGCTTGTCAAAGACATTCGCGAGAAGGCATTGCAGCTAGCGCGGAAATCTGGCCACCAGGACTTCAGGGCATCGGCGATGTGGTGCAAAGGCTTTATGAAGAGAAAGAACTTATCTCTGAGGCGAAGAACCAGTGTCGGCCAAGCACTTAGGGAGGATTATGAAAACATCTGCGCGGACTTCAGGAGATTCGTACAAAGGGAATCGCTTCACATCTCCCCCCACAATCTTGGGAATGTCGATGAAGTCCCAGTGCCCTTCGATATGGTTTATTCAAGGACCGTGGATCAAGTGGGAGCCGATACTCTAAGGATTGACTCAACAGGACACGAAAAATCGAATTTTACCGTTGTCCTCTCTGTGACGGCCGCTGGAGAGAAATTAAGACCGATGATCATATTCAAGAAAAAGAGGATTCCCAAGGATAATTTCCCTCCTGAAGTGGTAGTTAGAGCCAATGATAAAGGCTGGATGAATCACGAACTGATGAGGACATGGCTCCATGAGGTGTGGAACAAACGGAAATGCTATGTCAACGATCCCTCGCAGTCATTACTCATATTAGATTCTGCAAGGTATCGTTTCGTATTTTATCATTTCTTGAGCTTATCTTGCTTTTTTGAGGTGCCATCTCACAGAAGACGTCCGAGAGCTTTTCAAGGAGCACTCAAAGATCGCGGTCATTCCAGGCGGAATGACCAAATATCTACAGCCTCTCGACGTCGGCATCAACAAGCTCTTCAAAGACAATCTGAGGGCGGGATGGGAGCGATGGATGGCCGATTCAGCACGAGCAAGGTACACAACAGGCGGCGCCAGGAAAAGGATGACCTACGGAGAGGTAGCTGCACTAGTCTACGAGAGTTTCAATGCAATCACTGAAGAAACCATTGCAAACAGTTTCACCAAGGCTCTCGATGACGAATCAATAATAGAAGGCATGAACGAGGATTTCGACGCTTTGATTGTTGCTGATAATAACGATAATGATGGTCAAGTTGTTGCCATGAATGTTTGTTATGATGAACATGGAATGCTACCTGAATAAAGATCTGTTGCTTCGGTTCATTCTGAGACCAAAAAAGGCAGCGCAATTGCGCATCCTTCTTATTTTCATGTGAAAAAATAAGGCGGACTTATCCGCGGGACTTGGCGGCGCGCGAGGCTGTCACGAAAGCGGACTTAACTGAAAGCTCTTTTGCGGTCTTATCGGCGAGGCGGTCTTTACTGCGAGGCGATCTTATATGCGGGATTTTAGGGTATCTGTTACGTAACCTATATTTATTCGTTTTGTCTTCTTCACCATTACTCTCAGTATTGCCTTTGTAACACCGTATGCTAACTTCGTTCCCGCAAACTTTTCTTTACAGATGGCACAACGATAGCTCAACGCGCAACGTTGCCAACAGAGAGGGAGTCTGGTGGATCAGTGAGCAACTTGCGACCATCTTGCCACCACGTTTACGGGCTTTGATCTCATTTTCTCATTTGTTATTATTGTTTTCTATTGCTTTGTGAGATGTAGTAATGTTAAAGATAAACACGTCCTTGAGGGACTGTATTAGGTGCACCTGAGGCGTAGTTCGTATAAATATGATATCTGCTATTGAAGAGGGTGGTATGCACCGGTGGTAGCAGGTGCGGCCCCGTAGTAGCCCGCGATCCAAACCAACCTCTTCTGTTTTGGCGTACAAATATGATATCTGCTATTGAAGAGAGTGGTATGCACCAGTGTAGCAGGTGCGGCCCGTAGTAGCCCGCGATCCAAACCAACCTCTTCTGTTTAAGAAGTTGAAGTCCTCATGGAGAATAGCCCATAAGATGACCGGCTAGCCTCGGCCGTGGTAAGTTTGATTAGAAAATACGGTAGCGTGAAGTCTCAAAGATGGCCAGCTCCTAGATCTAAATCTCCTAGATCTCCCTTTAATGTCTTTTCAAATTACCCGTTTTTGCGATGTCATAGGTCAGAATTCTTGAACGCTGCGTTGTAAACACATAAGGTGTGTACGATTGTTGTTCCTCACGCACAACCTCGTCGCCTATTTGGGGACGAGGGAAATAAAATCAGTCGAAATAATCGGTATTCTGTACCATTATCCACTAAGAAAGTACAATTTACTGTTGAAAAAGTTAATCCAGAAAGCGTTGTAATACTCACTGTTTTGTTAGTAAGCTGGTGTGCCTGAAAAATGTACATTATATCACTCTTATAACATCCCCAGCCTTTCTGTAACTGCAATGGCCTATAACCACAATGATCCCCATCCAACGTTTCTGAAAGGCAGGAGGGCTAATGAAACTTCCATCAGCGACGGATACGGCGCATCCCACGTTTGCAAGAACAATAAACTTTTTCATCTCGTCCTGCCTTCGTGGGGAAAAATCACCAATTTTCATAGGCCCAATCAACTGGTCTCGTCCAAAGTAAGGTCGATAAGCATCGACAATGCAAAAAAATAGTCAACGGGTTCACGACAATCCTTCAGTAAAGCAAGATTGTGCCCAGAATCATCATCAGAACATTGAAAGTTTGGCGGAATCCCTATCTCCTTACTCCAACTAGCGTCGTCCACATCTTCACTGTCGCTTTCATCATCACTCTATTCTTCGCTTTCGCTGAGTGTCGCAGTATATTGCGTTTGATGTAGTCATCATCATTGTGATGATTTCTCCACTTCCTATCGAAAAGGAAAAAAGAACGTTGACTTCGTAAATCACCATTCCGTTGCTGAGTCTAAAAGAAAACCCTTTATAAGAGATTACATTTGTGACAAGACTTACCTGGCTCTTGTCGGACGTTCCCGAAACAGACCTTTGCATGTAGCTCACTGACGCTGCTAATATTCAATCAGTTCAAATAGTGGTGGAGCAAAAACTCGATTTCCTCATCTGTTTTCAGCGTAAAATACATGCTTTGGAGGCTAGTGTCAAAAAGATTCGCACACAGTGCATAGTGATTGTGCATACGCGCGTATACACGGGCTAAATGCGCGGAGGACGTTAGTGGGAGTTTCGCCCGAAGTGGCGCGGTCGTCAACGTGTCAAGAGACTGTATTAGGTACGCTTGGACGCATTTCGGATAAATATATTATATGCATTTAAGAGTAGGATATCCCTAAGTTAGCGAACAACGGATGTGTTTTGATAACCTAAGTTTCGTAGTTTCCACAAGAGTAATTCGTGCCTGTTTCGTCTTCTTTGATCTGAATAACAGTTGCCGAACTCACAATCTTAAGGAGCGAAAATTGGGACAAAAGTGACTTTATTTGTGCTCCTATTCCGTTGTTTAAATGTCATTCAAAAAGAGGCTTCTGTGGCGGACCGTTAAGCTTGTTTGAACAACCAGTTCACTGCAGTGATTACGTGTTAATCTATTATACATATCGCTGGTCATGGAAGCATTGCAAGGGCCGCGGGTCGGCCGTTGGAATGAACCAGGGACCGCCAGGGCCGGCCGATGCAGTGGATCAAGGGCCGTGGGCCGGCCGCTGTTGCGATTCGAGGGCGGGGTCGGCCGCACCCAGGGCCCGGCACACGTTGGTTTGAAGCTTTTTTGGAAACGAAGTCCCCCCTGACTTCGCGAAAATTTACGAAGTCCCTCTCGACGTAAAAATCAGTAGGGCAACCCTTATACAATTAAAATAACAATTAAAATTAAAAGCGAAAAAAGCGCATTTTGAGTTATCTAGTACAACAAAAAAGCAAAAAGCAAACATTTCGAGTCGATTAAAAACTCTGCCATTGGGTAAAGTACCATTTCAGTACTCGGAATGTCCGAAAACCTCCTAGGGCAACTCAGTCTGTGGCCCAACAATCCGACGATGCATTTTTCGCCACGCAGTTCAAAGGACACCGCATGTGGTTGGAGCGCGATATCTATCATCGCGTAGGATTACTCTACTTTTGGCTCGAAAAAAGAGGAGAGACAGTGATTTGATTCGCTCTCTTCACTGTATGATAGATTTTTGACCGTTCTAATCGTCCAAATCAAAAAGGTCCAAAACTTATGTGAACTCTCCGATATTTATGCTCCGAACCAATCCAGTTGGTTTGGTAATGGTTTAGAAACCAACAAAATCGGAAACGGATATTAGGACACATAAGTTTTTGGAACTTTTTACATAACACAGTTTGGAGTAATATTGTATACACATAGCCCAAATTGGGAGTCATGTTATTGTTTGTGCGCTGTAAACAAGCCATTTGTTTGTTTGAGTCTTGCGTTTGAAATTCGCGCGCTTGCGAAAGAACACGTTCAACTCGTATAACCTGACATGTTCGTCGTTTCTTTTTTTGGCGCCTCCTCCAGGACCTTATAAAAACGATACCCCGTTGTCTCTAACTCCAAAAACGAAGTCCATTTTGACCCCAAACCATCTGTGCCGGGCCCTGGCCGCACCTAGATCACGCCTCCAAATTGAGGCCGCGTGCCGGCCGGAAAGGCCTTTTAGGGCCGCGGCTCGTCCACTTCTAGTGTCTGAGTGGATGGCCGGATAATGGACAGCCTTAATCCGCTCAGAATGAAACTTGGTGCGCGGGGTTATTTTACATGCTATTACGAATATGATACTCATCATGCTCGGTAAGGCTTCATTATGGTTATATGCCCATGGGCAGACGATTATGCTGAGGAAGGGGTGCGAGGGTGTCTATTGGGACATTAAAGGCAGTGTCCAGGCTAAACCTAACCCCCTCCGATTAGTATCGATCCTGAAAGTAGGCCCCAGAAAAGGGGCATCTGCGTCGGTCCGGTTTTCTAACGTTGTCTCTGAATGGAGATAAGGGGCCTGAAACTCCCTGGCTGGGCGGAGTCTGATATCAGACTCCGCCCACCAGGGACTGCTCATTACCTTGTCAATACGTGCCTCCCGACACGTATTGACAAGGTAGTGAGCAGAAGCTGCACACTGCACACTGCAATGCAACTGCACCCATGCAGTTGCAGCTCCTTCCCGCTGGCCTGCCGACGGGGACAAGCAATTCGAAACTCGTCCGCGCCCTTAAGACTGGGTCCCTAAAAATCGGTTTTTTTGTAAATTTTAGAGAGTTTGAAGTTTGGAACTGTAATCAGGGCCACGGAAAGGCCCCAGAATGACGAAAACATGGGGGGCCAAATTCTGGGTGGACGCTGCCTTTAAGCGGGAGGCCGTATCGGTCGTGTGCATAAGTTCTTCGGCCCTGGTCACAGCCCGTACAGAACGGCGTTAGCACATTACAAGAAGCTAACAAAGGAAGCGTGTTTAGTTGAAGTGGCGTTTCTAAATGAGACTCATATCACTTTGAAGAGCATTGCACGGTGGCTCCAAATCTGCCTTCATTACCTGAAAAGCGCTTCTGGACGCGGAATTATGACCTTTTTTGGAGCGAAAAATGAATGCAGAATTTAGGTAAAAACAATTTTTACAATCTTTCCAGCTCTTCGATAAACCAATGTTAAGTATTAGCATAATAGACAAAATGTATCCGTTATATGAACTGCTCTGATTTTCGACACAGGACCATTTGAGCAAATTTGGGCGATCGCTCCAGTTTAACCCGAAAAACGCCCATAACTCCAGATAATGAAGGCAGATTTGGAATGACTATGTAATACTCTTTCAAGCAGTGTGGATCTCATCTGAAAAGGCCATTTCGACTACACACGCTTCCCTTGTAAGTTGGCGATGGACTCATGCGTGCATGGGAACCTGCAGAGGAAAGGAATACGCCAGCAGCGCGACCAGACGCATACCAAAAATAACTGCTGGCGTAAACTTGTATTTCGCAACGCATCAATTGCCATCTATTGCTTCTCCTTTTACATCAGGCACAGCTTTAGTACATATATGCACGTTTTGTGATCTGTCAACAATAGTGAAGTCAGATCGAGAAGCCAAGGTCATTTTTATCAGAGTGCCGAGAACCCCCAATATCCTAGATTTTAGTGACTTAGTGAATTTTGTTTTCGAGAACAATTTACAAGACCGAAATAATTGGAAATTGCAGCACCGTGGCTGTCAAGAAAGTAGCGTCGTTTTTTATTTGCTTGCTCTGGCAGTACAACCAGGATCAATCAAGAAAAACCAAGGGGTACTGCATAGAGCGAAGCAAGCGAGATAAATGCATTCGCCAACTTTTTGAAAATTCAACAAGAAATCATTTTTATGTGAGTGTTTTCTATATTCATTCGAGATGCTTATAGAAATGTAATTGAATAGAAAATGAATGTATGTTAAACACAGTGACGGAAATCTATGACAAAGCGATCAAAACATAGGAGTTGCTCGCACTAGCACACCTGAAGAATCACTGCAGTTGGTTTTTCGCAGTGACCCAGCATTTCACAAGAAAAGCAGAATTGTATTAGGATTGTAAAAAAAAAGAACTTACAAGGGAAGCTACCTGACTTAGCTCGGCCTTTTGATAAGAGATATGTATATTCTAGATCAACTTCGAACGCTGATTGCTTATATGCCATTCCTAGCTGCCGCGCACCATTCCGAAGCGAGTTATAGTTTTTTTTCCTGCGCAAAATTGGCATACTCATCGATTCACTGGCACACTGCATCATAATCCAAGTGTCATTACTCTTGCGTTAAACTTTTTTTTAGTGAGAAAAGATTGGATTTGTTTATTTTCGTGCTTTCTCAACTTTTTCGTGCAGATTTTTATCAACAGGCAGTCTTCCCATGTTCAGTATGCCACTTTTGCGCAGGACAAAGCCCATAACTGGCTTCAGAATGGCGCGCGGCAGCTAGGAATGGCATATTTGGAATCAGCGTCCGTTGTCAAAAGGCCGAGCTAGGTTAGGTAGCTTTCCTATTAGTTGTTAAAGCTTGTTTATCTTGTTCAAATGAATCTACTTGAATTATGACTGAATATATTTTAGCGCAATCATGAATATTTTTCAATTTTCCACATTTTTTGAAAAGTAAGGGCATGCATTTACCTTGAGAAAGCCTAGCTCTCAAAAGAAGCTTAATTGAGGCAAAGCACAACTGAAAATGACAAAGGACTCGAACCTACACCTGCATCAGCTTGTAGCTATCGCGCTAACCTCCCTCTACACCATAACTTACCACCTGTATTGGCGTTCATCAATTTTCACTTAGGCCGCCAAACTTGGCGCTAAAAACCTTCATAGCTTCTTTGAAAGAAGATTGGTAGAAAAGGAAGTCAGATCCGGAATCAGCGTTCCAAGACGAGTGTAAAGGGCCGGGCATACTTCACGCGATTTCAGTCGCGACGCGATTTGGCAATTCGCCAAAAGTCTTTGGATCCAACATTAGCAAACTGCACATGCTTAGTGTGTATAACTTACGTGGATTGATAGAATGCCCTATCTTCTGTACATTTAAAATGTATTTACAATGCGTTATGGACAGTTGGAATATTGCCAAATCGCGTCGCGACTGAAATTGCGTTAAGTATGCCCGGCCTTCAACGGTATACATCCCACCTCGAAAGACCACGAACACTGAGAACAGGGTTGAGCAAGAGGTCAGGCACAAGTCTTTCCAAAACGACCCCCCCCCCATGAAAGCCCCTAAACGACCCCTCTGCTTCACCTCCAGGACCTCAGGCTGTGATAATTCGAAGAGAGCCGTTTTTGGGAGGTTCTTGTTTTTTGGAGGTCTGTAGGTCGACTTTCTGCGATTGCACAGCACACACAACTTGACGGCAAGTTTTGGATTTTGGATAGCCCTACTTTTAGAGCTATAATTCCCACAGGGGTGTATTGTTTGGCTCCAAATTTGCAGTATTGCAAGAAGAGGCTTTGAGTTCAATACTCATAGCAGAAATGGAGCGATTTTTAGATTCTGAAAACAAGTTAATCGGGTCAGGCGCAACCCCTCAAAAGCTCAGGCGGCCTGACCTTTTGTGGGGTTGCGCCTGACCCGATTAACTTTATCATTGAAGAAGCTTTTTTATTCAAGTTTTATGTGAATCGCTAGCACAACCCTCGAAGATTCCACAGTAAGTGTTTGGACTTGATTTGACTTGTTTCGGCCTTGTGGTAATCCGTGGAGTTGAAGCAGTCATGGCGAAAAACGCGCCGGTCGAAATTTTGGCTTTATTTCTTACTCTACTATTTGCAAGCGATACAAAGCGCGATTTTTAGCCTAGACTAGTAGGGAACAATACTTTGTTACGAGTACAAAAAAATTGAGTTTTCTCACTTTTGAAAACAAGTTAATCATGTTTGAAAATCACGCTTTTTTAGTCGTTGAGAAACACTAGATAATGCAGTAAATAATGGTTTGTAGGGCTCATAGAGGTAATTTGACGTGCTCGGAAATGATACCCATTTCACACAGCAAGCTTCCTTGATGAATTTATAATATGTCAAGGTAGAAGATGAAGATTTGAGTTTTGGCCGAAACTTCGATTGTGGAATCAATCAGTATGCTGTTTAAGACCGTTCATTCCTTCAGTACTGGTGAGGTCGCGATATCTACTAAACTAGCGCTTTTCTTCTTCACCCTAATCGTAGTATCTCCTCAATCGAACAAATTCGATTCCTAATCACGACCCCCCCCCCCCTCTGTCTTACCCCAGTACGACCCCCCAGGTCGGGCGCGCCTGACCTCACGCTCAACCCTGACTGAGAATCGTCCCCTTAGTCTCTCTCAATATTTGTTTATTTTGAAAATAACGGCTGATGTAAAGGGTACGCCTGACAGCAATTTCCAGCTCGACAGTGTGGGTTACCTGTAACGATCGGTGACTGCTACGAGAATTATTTTTATTTTATTATAACAACCATTTCAAGCTGCATTCAAGTGAGGGTTACGCATATTTTCACAGAAATCCGCATACTTATGAGATGAACAGGTACGTTTGGATACGGCGATTTCCTAATATTGAAGAAGGAAGATTCCATCAGCAGGCAGGAATAGAGTTCTAATAGCTACCACACCGTAAACCAAAGGCGGAAAGTGCTACCTCACTAAACCTACTGGGACTGCCTATCTGTCTCCTTGTCAAATATACAGAATTCAAAAACTACAAAATATTCTCGAATGCATAGAAAAAAGAAGTATAAACTGAAGAAGCTGATGTTCCAGATGTCATTTCCACTACAGGAAAAAATATACTGAAGTGTGATCCTAATACCCTTTAACAAAAAAAAGCAGCGCCTCGTATCAGCGTCTTGCGAGAAACAAACACAAAATGTCAAATGATTGTACCCAATCCACGATCTTTTACTCGATGAACAGGGAAAGGTAGAATCTTCATTGAACATACAGCATCTACACGTTATGGCTATGAAATAATAGTATGTAAAATCTAAAAAAACGCAAAAAAAAGAGAAACAGATGTAGGGAAGGTTTGAATATGAGATCGTTAGCTGCGAACGCAGCCTCTTTGCTCATGCATTTGTATCAATTGTTGTAACTGCTGCAAGGTGCTACGCAAACTTTCCATTTCTAGGTCCAAATTCTGAGCTCGTTGCCTCTCCGTGGTTACCTGCAATGATAGTGTGAGTAACCTAGAATGGCTGAAAGGTGTTCTCGACAAGAAAATGAGAAAGGATGGAAGAAAAAGCATGATATGATTCGGTGTCGATACTCATCATTTTTTGAAAGCCATAAGTCAACATAGTGAAAAAAAAGACATTCGATTGGCAGGGGAAAAACTAATTTGCATTGGTTGAGGAATACTCGCGGGACACTTATTCAGGCACTTCAATTTCCACGTACATTTTGACTATATCCTCCTTTCCCCCCTCCCCCTTACATTTATCTTTGCGCTGTATAAACGGTTTGTTGTGTGGCGATTTTCGTTGCCATGGTTTGAACTTGCTGGATAAATTTGACTAATACGTCTAACGATATGTACAAAGCAAATTTTTTTGCATAGGACGACTGACTAAAGAAATCATTTACAGTACACTTAGGCCGCAGAAAATTTTGGCGTTCGAGAGACTAAATACACAAAAATCCGTTACTTCACAATTGGCGTACCCGTGGCAATTATAAAAAAACTTTTTACTTCGCTACGATTCCTCTGATCAATCCCGATCGATTCCCGTTGAGGTTACGGTTTATGGCGCGCGTAAGCACGGCCAGCAACGATTCTATTTGCGATGTCGCTGATTCACCGTTTCTTTTGGCGGTGATGACTCAGCAACAAGATGTCGAACCAGAGCGAGAGCAGCACATCGCTCGCACAAATTCAAGTGAGCAGTCGATAGCAATCGATTATTGATTGGTTACTGTATACAGAAAATGAGGAAAGCATGAAAGTTTGCGCGAAAAGGCGGGGAGGGGGGGGGGGGGCGAAGAAATCATTGAGGGAACAGGAGTACACACATACCTGTCCTTCGAGTTCCTGTATCCGATCGATTTTCTTCTGACGACATTTCGTGGCTGCAGCTCGGTTACGAGCACGCTTTCGGTCCAGCTTACGCTTTTCCTGCTCGTCCATGGCCAGCCTGAAATCACGAAGAGTATGAGAGATGTTCTTCAGGACGGATTTGAAACCTCAATTTTTGCAATAGTGTGCGTTTTTGCACATGTCAATTGAGTTACTGCTAGCGTCCAGCATATCATGCTCGCCAAATAATCCAATACATATATACTCTTTTGGGATGCATGATTTTGAAAAAAAAACGCTCTTACGCTGCTCATAATATAGTGGGACAGTTTTTTTGATTTTCGAGAACCTGCATTGTAAGCAAAATCATTCAATGCCATCAGTAACAGACATGAATGCAAAAAACTCCCATGTTTGAATCCATACTACCCGCTCGTATACCCCGAAATCAGCCCCGCAACCCTCCGAACTCTCTAAAATCGCAATCGATAATCGACTGAATGGAACTGACCAGTCATTATGCGGTGCATGATGCTGAATATTGTAAAGAGGAGGATTGCGTAGTCGCGCGTTCATCTGGTCCGGCGAGGTGCAGAAGGGGGTTTGAACGCGTCGGACGGGCCGGCGTCGGTCGCAATCGCGCGCATGACTCACCCCTCACACCACACCCCGCCACCACCATGCGGCCCCGCATACATCCCTCCCCGACTCCTCGTCGCCACCTCACACGCGCAGCCTCAGCGACGAGTGCTGGACTCGTTTCTAGGTGATCGGCGGTGAATTGCGGCAAGGAGGCGGGTTTGCAGTTCGAGAATTGCTGGCATTTCGAGGTGATGAAGTTATTACAGTACTCCTGGATATGGTAGAAGAAATGCTTATTACGATAGCCGAAGTTACTGTAAGGGACCCGTCATGCCTCGCCTAAAAAATCCCAGAAGCGCCAGGAAAAGCCGGAACGCCCCCTCTCGCGCGCAAGATTTGGGGCTAGCGCAGTAGGTTGATTTGGCAATCGAGTCTTTTTGCTTATTTTTGTCGCCTGCACATCGAAACAATGTCAGAATTCTACCCAATTCACGAAAGAAAAGCTCAGCTCAAAGAGTCCACAGCTCAGCTTCGAACTACTGCATCTAAAAGTTTTTTTTCTATACGAGTGAGTGAGAAAAGTTGCAAAAAAGGAGGAAGAAATGAAGAGATGATGAGGAAACCTAGCGTGAAATGCTGACCAAGTTGTGATTCGTCAAAACCAGCTAGTGAACAAGCAATGCGAGAAAATTCTACAGCAAATGAACTGCGCACTCCCATAGCGATACTGGTTGGCCACATGAATAAGCAGAAAGAACATTTAGCAACTACCAAAGAGTAAAAATAAATGAATGGACGCCCTCACAGGGAACTACTCTCTCAGATTCCCATATGACACATCTACAGACATTAAGCTTTGCTCAGTCATCAATATCCATCTATATATAAAGAAATCATTGTGCTTATTCAAAAAGTGATATTGCGGGAAACCGTGCGGCTCCCGTGGCGAAACTGCCTGCAAATCTAGCATCTTTACGAATACTGGTTCAGTAGTCTGATAATAAGTTAATCAGCTATACCTTGTCCCACATAATCCTGACGAAGAAACTTTTTATAAACTACGGCTTTTTCAGCAAGCCGCTGTTCATCACGAACCAACTTTTTGAATAACTTTAATCATGATCTATGACATATTTATTCGCTTCCGTCAAAAATAAGATTTTTTTGCAAGAAGGTCGTTGTTTTTCATCTATCCACATTTTCTCTTCTCGGTTCAAACATTCCCTTTAGTTAGTCATGCTTACAAATTTGTACAGCGAACTATGAGTGCAATGAAACAATTAGATTAATAATGAAGGAAATTTTTCAAGAAATGCGCTTGCCGATACTATAAAGAAAAGCCTGAGATTGACGTTCTCTCAAACATTGTGATGAAACGAATTGCAACGTAAGATGAGCTCCGAAAAACTTGCTCGTTGTTTGAGTGCATGACATTTTATTAGTTATCGAATCAAGTTAATGCATGCTAATATTAAACAACTAGGCAAGCAATGGAACAAGTTGTACAGATTTTTCTCAGATTTGGAAAAAAAAACAAAAAAGAAATCAACTCGAGTGAAATGTGGAATCCAATTTAATTGGTCCTATTCTCAGTAATCGTGAAAATCTTTTCATATTTCCCCTTCTGCAGACTTGGGTGAAACCCAACTTCAGCAACACGAGATTCAAGGTAAGTACGTCTTTCCATTCTCTATATTTGTATCGCATCCATTATGCCTATCCATAGCAATTGTTGATCCTAGACTATTAGCCAATCTCGACTACAACTTACCGAGCAAATAGATGAGATTTGAGGAAATTTGCAAAAGTTGGACACCCCTTGGCTACGGCCAGGGTCGAGAACGTCGGCATAAGTTGACCAAATGCAGGTTATCACGAAACCACAATTCATTACGTCCAGAAAGTTTTCTCCTGATAGAATCTAGAATCGAAAAAAAGGTTTTCCGATTGATTTTTCATGCAACGCTTGCACCTCCCGAAAGGCATTTCGAATTATATGCAGGCTGTACCAATACCTGTAGACAAAATTTCCCAAAGAAGGCAAAAACCGCCTCCCACGGCATGACCTCTCCCCCCCCCTCCTCAATGCCCAGAAACAGCATTAAACAGCCCACCAAAACTTGTTATATTTCGAATTCTACGATGATTCAGCAGCAATGGAAAAGTCGTCTCTTGCATCTCTTGCATACAAAAGGATTACTGTATCGTCCTTTGTCAAATTGGTTGGGACTAGCAATGCTTTGTCATCGCTTCTTCTAGAGATCAGCACAAAATGTGTGAAGATCAGTTGCAAGTCATCATGACTGACTTGCTTAGTGAGTGTCTTACTCGTTGCAAAACCGATTATACACTCACCAAATGCCAACTGCAAAGAGAAGACAAACTCCAAAATTTACATAAGCCCATGTGCGATTCTATCGTTGTAGGCACATCGTGCTACAGAAGGACAAGTCAAAAGTTTCGCAAAAGTGCAAAGCTGAGCGGCGTGATGTGTTGCACTGAACGATGACTCATGCAACACTTACATGATTGTGAAATGGGTTAGCGAGTAATTTTCCAAAGGTGCTGAAATGAGTGATAAATTTGGAACGTTTAGCTTTGCCTTCAGGAAAAAACTAACTGCCGTGGAAAAATCTAGCTGAAAATTAACAATCAATAATTCAAAATCAGAATTTCTCTTCAATAAAAAGAGTATGCGGGTTAGTTCTGAGCAAAATCAGTCATATAGCGAATTGCTGTAGTACAAACTTTGTAGCTCAAAAAATCAAAAAAAATTAATTTGGACATCCCCGTAAAGTGATATAGTCAATGAGATTCGCCAAATTTGAACTTTATCAACTCGATGCCCAAATACTTCCAACTTGTAGCTTCCAGCTTTATGTAGTCAAAAGCGTTACAGACTGAGATGGGAAAAAGAAAAGAGTCCTCAGAAGGTTAGATAACTGCACACAAAAAAGCCGCATTTTAATTCGAGATCCTCAAATCAGTGTTGAAAGTTCAAATTTTTAATACCTGGCCGCTGAACGTGCGCGCTCTAAATATAATTGTGGCGTGAAAAAAAAAGCTTTAGATGGCACTGACTTACAGTTAGTGCCTTTGATCATAAGCTAGAGAAGAAGTCTGGGTAAAAGTTTGACCCTAACCCCTAACTCCTCGCAGTCTTTTAGGATAAGAAGTTTTGCAGCTTTAACTAGCCTAGAATTGATCCAGGCCTTTGTTAACCAAACAGCAAAGGAGCACTTTAGCAATTGTGGTAGAAGACACTCACTCGACAGCCCTGGTCCTCGGATCGGGCGGCGGTGTGTGGAAACAAGAGGACGAGTACGTGGACGGTGGGAACGTGAAATCCATGTTGCGAGTGCGGGAAGCGGAGGCTCGAATTGATCGTCGCGCAGGTTATATAAGAGTAGGCGAGTGATAAGGGCCCGAATGCGTCCGCCGCTGTTGTCGCAGTGACTCAGCGGCCGCCCGAGCCAGGCGCCGTAGCCGCGCCGTCGAATCAGCGCATCGTGTCCGACACGCCGCTTATGCGCGTACCGTTCCCTCGGCCGAGGCGCTAAACAACCCGGGTTCGTCATCACCCCCTTTCGGCCCCTCTGGCAGCGCCCCTAATTGCGTGCAGTGAACCAGCGCGACGATGACGAGCGGGGCCTGTTATGCTCTCATGAATAACGCTTTGCCAAATGATATTCGCTTGACGCATGTAAGCATAATGGAGACGTGACTAATGTGGTGCTACCGTTCAGGGAACAGAAAAAAGGACAAAGGAGCTTTTGAACATACTTGGACGTCCTCTTCCGGCTGATAAGCTTCTGATCTAGGTACTAGATCAAATTGCCTTTTTTATTTGTAAGCAGTATGATTCAAGGATGAAAATCATCACAACGACAAGATCTTCTTAGTGCTAACAGAGAACTTTCAAAGGTTACATTATCTAAGCATACAATGCATTTAGGCGCTACAGCCTCCTCAAATCGAAGATGTTACGGTAACGTTACCTCAGCTTTACTCGGCTAAGCAGTACGTGTCATTTTATATTTTCGGAAAAAAAGATTAAAATTTTCATTGTGTACGTTGACTGTAAATACGCAGCAGTGGCGTAACATTCGAGAAATGTTTGGGGAGCAGGAGGGGGGGGGGAGGGAAGGGTGGTAGAATTTTTTAATGAAGAAGCGCGGCGTTATCGACCCTAGAATGATCTTCAAAATTCACAACGTAATCTGAGAAACGGATACAGCGCCATACTTGCCAAAAGTTTTTTTCCCGAAGCTAAATTAGAGAGTTATATTTGCTTGATTGTTCATAAGTTACAGCTTTGATTGTTTATAAGTGAAACCATATTTTTATTCGTGAATAAAAAACATGTCATTTGCACAATTTCACTACTCAGGTAGGCCGAACAACTTCCTTGCTCCTCCCCCCTGGGTCCGCCACTGCTACGTAGATGTTTTTGACCTATGTATAATCTATTCGTTCGTCTCTTTCTGTGGAAACAAGATCTTAGCGTAATTACATGTACTAAGCCTTATTTTGCAA